CTTTGCCATCTTTGAAAGAAAGAGGATGACAGGAGGCTAATACTTCTGGTGTATCAGTGTCTTGTAATCTCTTAAAACTGCAGTCCAAGTAGGTGAGGCAGGAGGGTTGCAGAGATGGAAACAAAGCTAGTAAGTAACAAGCTATAGAATGTGTAAACACACACACACACACACACACACACACACACACACACACACACACACACACACACACACACACACACACACACACACACAAAAAAATTGTTGAACATAAATCTCTTCAGAGTGGTGTATGTCAAGAGCTTGCCACTGAATTATTCCTTTTTTTTTTTTTTTTAAGTTTTTTAAGACAGGGTTTCACTGTATAGCCCTGGCTGTCTTGGAACTCACTTTGTAGACCAGACTAGCTTTGAACTCACAGAGATCCACCTCCCTCTGCCTCCTAAGTTCTGGGATTAAAGGCGTGTGTACCACCACCTGGCACCACTGAATTCTTTAAAAAACATTTACTTACTGGATGTGCCATACTACACATGTGGATGTCAGACTCAACAGTTTTTAGGAATCAGTTCTTGCTTTCTACTATGTGGTTCTGGGGGTCATTCTCAGGTTGTCAGGCTTGGTGGCAAGTGCCTTTACTTTACCTATTGAGCTTCCTTACTGTCCCGATGATTCACTGAATTATTTGTGTGTGTGTGCATACATGTGTGTAAAGCCCAGAGGTTCCTCAATCTATCCCTACCTTCCTGTTGAAAATTTCTCACTGAATCTGGAATTAACTAATTTGGCTAGACTGACTGACCGGCAAGCCTGCAAGGATCCTCCTGTTCCTGCCTGTCTTGTGCTGGGATTACAGGCATAGTTTACTTTTTATATGGGTGCAGGGACTCTGAATTTTGGTCTGCATTCTTACATAGAAAACTTCCCATGGAGCCATTTCCCTAGTTATTGAATTCATTCATGTTCATTCATTTCTAATTCTAAAGTTCATTCATTTCTCTTTCTAAGATTTTTTTTTGAGAATTGGTTTGTTTGTGTGTTGGTTTTTCAAGACAGGATTTCTCTGTGTAATAGTCCTGGATGTCCTGGAACTCGATTTGTTGACCAGTCTGGCCTTGAACTCACAGAGATTCACCTGACTCTGCCTCCTGAGTGCTGGGGTTAAAAGTGTGTGCCAGCAGTGCCCAGCATTTTTTTTGAGATTTAATTTGTCATTATATTTTATGTGGATGAGTGTTTTGCCTGCATGAATGTCTGTTCATCGCATGCATGTAGTGCATGAGGCAGCCAGAAGAGGGTGTTGGATTCCCTGGAATTAGAGTTACAGATGGTTGTTAGCCACCATATGGTTGCTGGGAATTGAACCCATATTCTCTGGAAGAACAGCCAGTGCTCTTAATTAATCACTGAGCCATCTTCTCTCACCTTTCTTTTTTTGAGGCAGGGTCTCATTCACAGCCCAGGTTATCCTTGAACTTTTGGTCCTCCTGTCCCATTTGTTTGAGTGCTGGGAGTAGAGGTGTTGCTAGCTCCTGCATCCTACTTGATCAGTGAACTCAAAAGAATTTGTATAACCCTTTGAGATGTTAAATAGCAATTATCTTACTTTAGAGATGAGGAAATGGAGGCATATGGATCTTTAGTGACTAGCCTAGAATCACATAATTAATAAGTTGTAGAGTTACGCTGTTGGAGCTGCTGCTCTTCCTCTTCCTTCCCCCTCTTTGAAACTTTCACTCCTTCTGCCTCAGTCTGTCAGTGCTTGGATTACAGGTGTTCCCCACCATGCCTGTCAATTTAAGTTTTTAAGAAAATAAGTTATAAAACCTGTAGTTGGGAGTTTTTGACTTGATAAATAGATTAAAAATATTCTTGCTATTCAGCAGAGTTTGCTTTTAGCCTGTCTATTAAAACAATGCTGACTGAGCCTTCTTGCTACCATGATTTTAATTAACGTGATGATTCCCTGACAATAGTTACAGGATTTTAACTAATTAATGCAATAATACACAAGTATTAAAATGACCTCAACTTCAGGAGACACCCAGTACTCTATTATGGCCTCAAAGGGCTCCCTCATATGCATGGGGCTCGCTCTCTCTCTCTCTCTCTTCTCTCTCTCTCTCTCTCTCTCTCTCTCTCTCGCACATAATCACACAAATTTAAAATGTATATAATTCTTTAAAAAATTGTATGTTTGTTTTTAAAGGTTTTACGAGTTTAAATATCTTGCTTGCATGCGTGTGCCTGACTTATTTATTTTTTAAAAAAGATTTATTTATTATATATACAGTATTCTACCTGCATGTCAGCCTGCATGCCAGAAGAGGGCATCAGATTTCATTTTAAATGATTGTGAGCCACCATGTGGTTGCTGGGAATTGAACTCAGGACCTCTGAAGAA